AAAATATTATTAAAACGAACCAACTCGATATTGACGCAACATTGAAACTTGTTTCGAAACATTATCTGATCTCATTGAACCATATATTTCGTTTCTCTTTTTCTTTGTATATGCTAAATTTTTATAATATTCTTGTTGAGTTCCAGAGTATGTAGGTAAAAATCGTCTTCGTAGGTTCTGATATTGAGAACTTTGAACCAAACTTACGAATGCAATGTAAGAAAAATAAATTATATTCAAATCCAACAAGTTTAACTTTATAATTTATGAAAAGCAAGAATGTAACCAATACTTTGAAGTTTTGTCTGTATCTCCTTGAACACCTTGTTTTCTTTTGCCCAATATAGGAACATTTCCGGTAGGAAACAACAAACTTGATTGCGTAAATGTCCAGGTTGCTAATTGAGATCCAATATCATAATTCACTAGAATTTATTAATCAAACCAATTAATAATAGTTAAACTAGTTGTGAAATTATTGAAAAAATTATTTATTCTTACTTGGATCAACTGTCAAACTGAATGCATAATTATTATTTGTTGCTCGAACGAACCCCTCTTGATTGTTTCGTTTATAATAAGGCTATTATAATATTGTTTAAAGCTTTAACATTAAAAAAAAAAAAATTAAGGCCCCACCATACCATATCAATTAATATATAAATACCTTTGGAATACTTTTTTGTGTGTTAACGAAAAGAGGTGTCATAGTATTACTCACTCGCCATGAAGTATCGATATTGTCATAACTATCATCAAATTTGGATTGAGGCAAAGGTTGATCAAATATAGGTTTTTTATAATCGATGCTCTTCTTTGACCCTTCGAGCAATAAAAAGCATGAATACTGTAAAAAGAGTGTTTCAATCTCAGAGCAATACAAATTTCTAAAAAAATCAAAAACAAATTAAATATTGGATAATAAATATATAAAACAATAATAAAGATCACTCAACATACCCAACAAGTTCTTTTAGTAAAGTAAACGTATCACGAGAAAGTTCTTGTTGCTCTTTCCAAAATTCCGTCAATGTTTTTTGTATATTTTCATCTAAATCTGCTAATCCTTTTAGCAAACCAATTTTCAACTTTTGCTTAACTTTATTTTCTTCGGATGTTTTCTTGTATAACTGAATCAAGATGGCATAATATGATTCCTATTACATATCGTTCGGTGAAGGTTTAATCAGATTTCCTAAAAAAAATTCATTCGTTATAATTTATTTCAAAAAGGATACTCGACAATCTATATTAGGATGATCCTTGAAACTTTCAATTAATGGGTCCAAGAAATAATCTATTAAAGTTTCATCTCCCTGGAGTAGTACACCATTTAAAATTCGTAATGCTACTAATTGTTCATTAATACTCCTATAACATGTAAATGTGATAAGCATAGATTAAATATGTAACTATAATAAAACTAAAAATATATGCTAACCTATGTCTAAGTAAAGCAAGAAGCTGATTTTTTCCCAAATTTGTAAGTAAATCTGGATCACTATCAGCGCAATATGAAATGACTTCCAAAGCAAGAATTTTCTTAACATTGAGACTATTTAGCCGTGGTAAAAGATTGAAAGCATGTTTTAAAAATTTCTCTGATGTAGGTCGATCATGCATTGAAATATGATGTATGCAAGTAAGAAATGTATTAAGATCTGTTGGTCGATTTGTAATTTTTTTGTATAAAGTGGTGACCTAAAAATTTTTTTATAATTAATAATCCAGTAATATTCCAAAAGAATATCTAAAATTTGATAAAGCACCTTTTCCATGATAGGATTAAGCAAATATCCAAGCTTATCATTAGAACAGTGATATTTTCGCAAATTTTTCAATGCCATACCGCACACCTTAAATGAAATAATAAGATTTTAAAACGCATAAACAAAAGTATTCAACACAAATTATCCAACATACTTCAGCAGCAAGGGAACGTATATTGGTTTTTTCATGATCTAGCTTTCTAGTGAGATCCCAATAAAATTTATCTTCCGTCAAAGAGCCAAAGTCAATCCCAGCTTCTTGCTGAAACAGGGACTTGTCATGTGTTAATGCGATTCCAAATAATTGTAAACCAGCAATAATTTGGGTTTCATCTGAACTACTAAAATAGTCATATATAACTCGCTGAAATTAACAATTTCGGAAATTCATGTAAGATCAAGTGCGAAAAAAAAATTACTACAATGCAATATAAATGGTCGAATCATACTGTTGGTACAATGAGATCAGATAATGTTTCGAAACAAGTTTCAATGTTGCGTCAATATCGAGTTGGTTCGTTTTAATAATATTTT